CTGGTGGGGAGACGAAACAACCAGGGGCTGGGAATGGGTGAGTTTAAGAGCTTGCTTGGTAAGCTCTGCTGCTGCTGCCAGTGTATGCAGGCAGGGTTGCCACCCTCTTACCGTAACATCCAGCTGTTTGGCCAGGTAGGCTAGGACCCTAGGTGATGAGCCATGCTGTTGACAGAGCACCCCTACGACCACACCCTACCACTTATCAGTAAAGAGTTGGAGAGGCGTGTTAGCTGAGGGAAAGGCAAGAATAGGGGTGGAAATTAATAGGGTATGGAGTTTGATAAACCCCTGATGGACGATTGCAGGATTGGTTAGGGGCCCTCGAGGAATTTCTTTGGCTGCTTCATACAAGGGTTTGGCAATGAGAGAGAAATTAGGAATCCAAAGACAGAAAAATCTTGCGAAGCCTAAGAAAGACAGAATCTGGTCTGCATTTTCAGGAGGGAGTAAGTCCTTTATGGCTTGAGTACGGCAGGTGGTTAAAGATCGGCCTTTGGATGAGAATGAAATACCCAGGTAGGTGACAGTTTGGGTACACAGCTGAGCCTTGGAGTGAGACACCCAATGCCCCTTAGCTCCCAGGAAGTTTAACAGCACGCTGGTGACTCCTTGGCAGTGAGACAGTGATGGGCTGCAAACTAACAGATCGTCTACACACTGCAATATGGTACTCCTCTGAGGGTGAAACTGAGATAAGTCAGCTGCTAACACCTGCCCAAAGAGGGTGGGAGAGTCCCGGCATCTCTGAGGGAGAACTCGCCAGGCCGGTTGCTGAGCCGTCTGCGTCTGTGGGTCAGACCAAATGAACGCAAAAAGAAAGTAGGAATCAGGGTGTAGTGGGATAGAGAAAAAAGCATCCTTCAGATCCAGGACAGATGTGGTCTTTGCTCAGTAAGGTGTAAGGGTTGGCAACCACTGGGTGGATAGGTACTACTGCAGCGTTAATTAGGCAGAGATCTGAACGAGCCTGTATTGGCCATTGGGTTTCCAAACCGCAGGAATAGGAGTACTGCATGGGGGAATTAATAGGGACCAAAGTATTGTGTGTTAACAAGCGGTTGATGATAGGCTAAAGTCCAAACATAGCCTCTTTAGACAAGGGAAACTGTGGGCGTGACGGAAAACTGTCAGGTTTTTAAGGCAGATTCTAATGGGTGCATGATGGAGGGCTATTACGGGTGTGGATAAATCCCATACCTGAGGGTTTACTTCGGATAAAATGGCTGGCAGAGAGGTAGGAGGAGCGGCTGGCTCCAGGGTGGCTACAGTGGCAAAAAGGAGACGGGCAGCATGCGGTTGCTGAGGTATTAAGGAAAAGGAGGCTTTAAGGCGTTGTAAGATGTCACGCCCAAGCAACGGAACAGGACATGAGGGGATTATTAGGAATGAATGGGAGCAAGGGTATTGATTTAAGATGCAAGGCAAAAGGGTTTTTTTGGGGGGTGCTGAGGAGGTGCCATCAATCCCCACCAGTGACTGTGGAAGGGAGACTACTCCTGGCATACAAAGAAAGGCTGGAATCGGTAGCCCCTGTGTCCAATAAAAAAAGAGGTGGACTTACCCGCTACCTGGATGGTGACCCTGGGCTCAGCTAGGGTTATTGGGGTATCCGAGTGCAGGCATTTTCAGTCTTCTTCAGCAAGCCCCAGAAGTTCACCAGCCAGGAAGGACTGTGTTGTGGCTCCAGCTGACCCCGGCTGTGTGGAAGTTGGGGGAAGCCTGCGAGCAGACAGTCAGACTTCCAATGCCCTGCCTGGCGGCACATCTGGCACAGCTTGGTAGGGGGGTCGGGGGTTTGGGCATTGGTGGGCCCAATGTCCGTCCTTACCACACTGAAAACAAGCCCCTTGTGGGGCTGCGTCCCAATTTGTGTGAGGATCTTTCAGCCCCACCCCTGCCGGCCTCAGGGCAACTACCAGAGCCTGGGTTTGCAGCGCCACCTTGCACTGCATGCAATCTGGACTGGTGGGTTGATTCAGCCACTTCCTCGCCGGCGTTAAAGACTTTAAAGGCCATTTTTACCAGATCCTGCAGTGGGGTTTGTGGCCCGTCCTAAGTCTTCTTTTTTTTCTTATATCTGGGGCTGACAGAGATAAAATGAGAGGCTAAAACCGCCGCTCTGGCAGGGGATTGGAGGACTAGGTGGGTATGTTGGGTGAGGTCTTCCTGGAGGCGGTTTAGAAAAAGGGCAGCATTTTCATCCTTAGACTGCATAACCTCTTTAAGTTTTTCAAAGTTGACTGCCTTATTAGACAGTTTCCATCCCCTGCACTATGCACTTTACTAGTAAATCCCTACGGTTGCTGCCCCCAGCTCTTGGCTGATATTTCCATCCCGGGTCCTCAGCAGGAATGGTCGTTTGGCCTACCAGTACAGTATTATCCACCAGGTGGGTTTGATCCGTGTACTGTCTGGCCGCGAGGCAAACTCGTTCCCTTTCATCGGGCGTTAAGGTGGAAGCCAGGATAACATATATTGTGCCAGGTAAGATCATATGCCTGAGCCAAATAACAAAACTCCTTGATATAACTGCTAGAATTGGCAGAGGAGCCCAGGCACTTTTCAATTTGGGACAGACCCTGGAGGGAAAAAGGCACGTGGGCCAAAACCACTCCGGCTCCCGAGAGGAAATGGGAGAGGCAGAGGGTGGTGAAATGGGTGGTGCCAGAGCAGAGGGTTGTGATGGTGGCGGTAGAGGAAGGAGGGGTTGGGCATAAGGTGGCGGAGATTGGGAGGAAGGAGGATTAGGGTGTGAGAGAGGAAGGGGTCAAGGGGGAAACCCAAGGGTGTCCGGTTCCTCAGTAAATGAGGTTCCTCAGTAAATGACGAAGACAGGGGGAGGGCAGGGTATAGAGTCTGGAGAGGGTTCAGGTTTTTGTTATTCTGCCCCACTTCTGTTAGTAGATTTAGCTAAAAGAAACTGCGAGGGAGAACACCGGGTACACAGGGACGGATGAACACGGAGGTCCCAAAAAGCCTTTAACATATGGAACTTCAGACCATTTTTTGGAATGGCGGCAAAAGTTGTCTAAATCCGTTAGAACATCGAAATCAAAAGTACCCTCAGAGGGCCACCTGGATTGGTTATCCAAAGGATATTGAGGCCATTTGGTGGTATACAGGAAAACAAGCTGCTTTTTGTGGAGGCTCTGAGAGAAACTCAATTTGGAAAAATTTTGGAGGCAACCCAAAGGAGTTTTAGGATCAGTCTTGGACTCAGTATTGTCCATGGTGCCCTGATACTTGGGAGAGTTATCACCCAAGACAAGGTGTCCCCTGTATTAGAGGAGAACTGTAGAATTAATGGAGACCGTTCCCAGTGAGACATCTCCCAGGTTACAGGGTCCGTCAATGGGAGCAGAAAGCCATCCCTGGCGCGGCCGTGACACAGGACAGGAAGGCTTAGACGGAGACGCGACAGGGCAGCAGGAGTCCAAAACAGATTGCGCAGTACCCGACCGCGGAGTTTCGATTGTAGAAGAGTGGGGGGCGGCCCCTGACCGCTGAGGGGGGTCTTTCTCCTGGGTTTCAGCAACAATGTAAGGTAGTCCAGAGGCGTCAGAAACTGAATCAGCCGAATTTTAGCAAACAGGCTTTATTAGGGGGGAAAACCCCGCCTGGGCAAAGTCCCACAGTCCACAACATCGGGGCTAAGGGAGTCGCACTATAGGAGTGACCTTTTTATTGCCGGGAGACGTGGGTGGGCTGGCCCTGGGTCCGTATCTAGTAAGGTGGTCCGCGACTGGAAGATACAGGCGTCTGGATTCCTGACTAGGCAGAGGTGTCTGCCAGGGATTGGTAGAGCAGGCACGCCTGAGTCCCTGGCCAAAGGTGCCCATCCAGGATTGGTGGGCGCAGGCATGTCCGAGCCCCTAGCCAGGTAGGGGAGGCTGTTGGTGATTGGTGGACTCAGGCACGTCTGCGCCCCTAGCCAGGTAGGGGAGCACTTATAAGTTCCTGGGAGAACGCACGCGTGACTGAGTGCAAGGTCCAGAGAGAATTGCATCAGCCAACTCTGATCAGCTCCGCGTGGGGTGGGGGGTTTATTGATTTGGCCATACAGTTTACCCGCTGTAGATATGGAATTGGTTAGAAGTTAGGATGCAGTTGACACAGATTTCAGTAAACTGTATTACGTAAGAGCCATGAGAAAAATCTGCTCCAATTTCAAACCGATCGCCTGAGGGCCATTTAGACAGTTCATATTTTAAAAACATTGAGTTGTTAATTTTGGCTTCATGTATGCATGAACATGGTGCTTCCACATGAAATTTAATTTCTCTAATTTTTATTCTGCTCTTTTAACTCAAAGCTAAACCTTGAGACAGCAAATCTTTCACAAGAACCTCCATGAGGGTTTTCCTGTTGAGCTGAGCAAATGAATGGAGGTAGCTTCTCATTGTTTTCCAAATGTGTTGGCATTACATTTTAAATATTTCGGGGCTGGTTTGAGATGAAAACCTCGGTCAGGGTGTCTTTTTCCCAATGCTTTGTAGCGAGAGGAAGCAAACATACTTCACCATTATGCAACATGGGGCAGAACAAGCACTTCCCAAAGGAGTTTTGGGACTTATAAACAATGTAGGAGGTCTCCGAAAACTGTGTACATAATAACCTCCATACCCATTTGGTTTACACATACACTAATTTCCTCTCCTTAAAACTCCTGGGTTTTTTTTGCTTATTTTATAAAAGCTGATTTTTTTTCTAGCAAGATATTAATTCACAGACAAAGAAATTCCAGGGACAAATCAGTTTGGAGTAAATTATCAATTAACTCCAACGAAACCACATTGGCTATAAGTAAGGCAGACAAAATATAGAACATGATGATATAATTCAGTCCCATGAAGACTAAATCTGAAAGAGAAATATAATTTCAGTTTGTTTTAAAAACGCCAACAAATGTGTGAAACTAACGAGGCAACTGGGAGTGGTGATGTTAAGAAGAATCTTACCACATCCAGAAAATAATAAAACACTTGGAAAAACGAATATAAATTTAATAATAAACATTATGGTCAGGCTGTTTATTAAGGATGCAACCACATATACAAGTTCGGCTAAAAAATGTTTGCAAATCAAACTTCATGTGATCTAAAAGGACCATGCGTAATGTCAAAAATGGACACCTGTACATTCAATAAAAAATTCAAACATACATAGTCTAGATCATTCTAGAGTTATACACACATCTGGGGCCACATATGCAACTAATTCTCTTTCAAAAAAAGTGATTTTTAAAAATTTTATAAAAGTGATGTATTGAGAGAATTTTAAAAAGTATTAGACAATTATGAATGGTTCCCAGTTTTACAAAATGTGATTTCCAAGGTATGAAAACTGAAAAAAGTCAACTCTTTAGAGAGTGTTTTCTATTGTACAAACAAGTTTTGTAGAAAAATGATCCAGCAAATGCTTGAGTTAAGAATATTTATATTTTTCCATTTTTTTTTACATTTTTATTAACACACTTACAAAAAATAACATTCAAACACTGAGAAAATTAAATAACTTTGGAAGCAGAGCTCACACAGCTTTCTGCTTACATATAAGTGACAATTCTGGGCTGTTGGCACAGAAAAAAAATCCACATTCATAAAACCTTTACTACTATATGTCAAACATAAGTTCAAATCATAGGCACTAGTTTATCAAATCCACATTTCTTCTGTAAGACTAACCACAGTATCCTTGGACTTCCCCAAACAGAAAAATTGGCAATATACAAAGTCTTCCTAGTAAAAAGGCAATTTTTCTCTTTAGGAAATTGAAAACCCCAGAGTCTGTGGTAGTACAACAACAGGTAAAATAATACTTTATGAAACTCAGATCCAAAATATGCTTTTAATAAGTGATGAAATATTTTCATTCAAAACAAAAACAAACTTCAATAACCTGAATATTCCTTTAGAAACGGATTAAACTTAAAAATGTACTGGATGTTTCCTAATAGGATTAGTTGGCTGCAGCGTATTTTATTTGCTTTGCAATGTTGTACTGCAAAGGGAGCCCTAGTTAAGTTGTGTACATGTGATCCTGAAGTTAGACAGTGCTAGTCAGTGCTTTCTTTCAGTTGTGCAGATTCACATCAGCTCCCAACCCAAAGCACATGCTGTTTCCATCTTCCTCTGAAAGGAGACGTGTTTTAGTTCATCATGTGGAATTCTGGTCCTGTCCCGCCCCATCACCCTTAATTAAACTCATGGATAGCTTTCTCTCTTGCATCAATACATCCCCCCAAAAAAGTAGTAGAGGCAGTTTAAATCTCCAGCTGCTTGTGCTAACTGACTGCCTGCTAATAAATACCAAGCCTTCCGTTTCTCTCCCTTCCTTTTGCCAACTTACAGAATGCTTTTGACTAACAGGAAATGGACGATGTTAAATTCTTTAAATTCTTTTAGCTGCCCAATTTCCAATCATTTTAGAGTTGTTCAAATTAAATATTTAATAACAGACCTTGCTATTAAAAATGAGCAGCCTGTTGCAGAAGGAAGTTTTAGTCTGGAAACAGATAAAACGAAAATCGGTGATTTCAAGGGTGTATACATAAGAGCCAGGAGAGAGCAAGTATTTAACAGTTAATAGTCCTTTGTTACCCAAACTGCAAACATTGATATAAGGCAAAATCTAAGTCAAAAGGAACAGTATTTCTAAAAGATGTTTTATACAGTTACAGGTTAAAGTGGACCAACAAGTAGGATTCAGCAGGCGTCATTTCCTACCACATGAAAGACCGTTTTGTCACTTAATATTAACAGCATGACTGTCGTCACCAGAGATTTTGTAGGTTAAGTGCATAGATTTCCCCCCTTCTTTTTTTTCTTCCAAGAAATGGTTTCATTCCAGGTTGTAAGCACTGAGGTGGTGTTGTATCATGAATGAAGACATACACTACTTGCTTTTTCCCATCACAGAAGCCTGCTAACAAAAACGGGTTTTCAGTTTGGTAATAGATAACAGCATGTGAAGAAGTTGCCTTCAATAGCAAAGGCCTTCTTTCCTGAGCCAGGAACTATAAAGTTTAGAAAGATTGTACAACTGATATGAAGCCCTTTTGGCAATCAAAACAAACACATGAAAGTCCACTATGTCAATGGAACATGATGGATGCATCTGCTGATGGTGGTATGTCAGCTACACCTCAAATTTAAGATTAAACAAAGTGATGTGCCATCTAGTATACAATTTTTCTAGTAAAATCTGGAAAAAAATTTTCTAGAATGCTTCCAAATTTAGATTTTTATGTCTCCAATTCTTAATCCGGTTTTCTATTCCTTTTTTTTTTTCAGTTTAGTGTCCTGGAGTGCTAATAAAGCACTAATGAAACACTTTAGATAATTAGTCAGAATATTAGTTCTCATTAACACAGATATTTATTGGTATGATTTATACAGTAAATTCGGTTGACCGTAGAGGTTTTGGATAAGCCCTGAATTCACCACTTTCTTGTGCACGCAGGTACTCTCTCATTTACAGATGGGCATTTCTCTTTGGCATCCATGAGGTTTTTGCCCAGATCTTGGCCTCTGTCAAATATGAAAAAATCAACTTGGTTTCTATTAAACAAAACTAAAAATGATTCCATGGAGAGTGATTGTATGATTACCAAACGCATCTGATGTTAAATGTCATTAAAGTGCTGCTTGATCATCTCTGTCGGTTTGTGCTCAATTAAGACAGAGAGGGCTGGGATTTTATAAACCCCACGAGTCTTATCTGAAGAGTCTGCATATAAAAGGTGTTGCTTCGCCTGGTGAAGGGGTATCCGTGAAGCCGTGGACCTCTGCATGCTTGTCTTTGCTGGTCAGTAACAGCCATCTTTCCAACTGTCGTCTTTCATGCTACCGTAAGTTTTAGGAGTTTGCAAGGATCTGAAAAACAAAACAAAACACCCACCAATTTCATAATGTGATTTTCAAAGTTCATTGAATCATCACTATATGGACTCCCTGTGTACTAATTTCTTGGCAAAGTTCTCAAGAGCTATTAGTGTCAACTTCCCATACTCAGTAGTCTCACTACTTTCAAGTTTTACTTCCTAATGTCTTTGTTAACACAGCTGTTGGATTAAAAGAATGGAAAGATCATCTACCTTTTTAACCACATGAATAACCACCTTTATGTGATTATTTTTCTCTGAGGGGCGTGATGCATGTGTTATTAGAGAGAGAACTCTCGGTGGAGAGGCAGTGTGGGTGCTCGAGAGGCCTTTGAAGACAGGCATACATGGAATTGAAGGTCTTATGAGTTGTGTGGCCGAAGGCAAATTATTTGACCTTAATGAAATTCTGTGTCCCCTTTGGTAAAATAGGCATCCTAATAGTAGCTACTCGTATAATTGGATTCCCTGAGTGGTTGGAATGGTTATGCAGTCGACTACTAAGGTTCACACTCACCCAGAGGTGCCTTGAAGACAGCACCGCCTGCAATCGCCTTCTGAAAGGTCACAACTTTGAAAACCCTACAGGGCAGTTCTATACCGCACCAGGAGTTGGCATTAACTTGATGGCAACTAATGCCCCATCCTGGTAACATTATTATAAAGACAAGATGGTCTCAAACATAGCAACAATTTTGAGGATGCCACCGGGCTGGGCAGCGTTTTGCTGGTACACATAGGGTTGCTATGAATCAGAACTGTCTCCACGACACCTAACAACAACAAAGTATATTCAGCATGCGCAGAGCAAAATGCTGTTGTACTCTACTACTGAATTTAGTAACAAAATGTTTATCTCAGAATCAAGGAAATATGGCTCACTGGATTGAAAAACTGCTGCAATGGAAAACATTTTTTTCCCATGTAAACAAATATTCCAAGTTTAATGATAGTCAACACTTATATTTATTGATGGTAGTAGTAACCGCATTCCTGAAAGGCATTAATGGACACAATCTGGGGGGCGGGGGGAGGAATTAGAATCACCTGCAGAGATTTGGGGAAATTAAAAAGAAAGAAAAGTAGCACGGCTCCAGAATCTGGGCCTCCATGAGGGTCTAGGAAGTTAGTCTCCCCAGGTACACAATGCAGAGCTGCATTTATATGAAGGTCCTGCGTGACTCTGAACTGTGTCAGGGTTTAAAAGCCACCCGCAGATTATACTCCAACTTGGTAGCTATGTTTTTTTAATTTTAAATCTCATTATAGCAAGATAATTTTATTATCTTGTTGAAATGAACAAATATTACAACCAAACTGAGGTACTAATATTTTTCTTTAGAAATTCTGAGGTAGTTAACCATCTAGCTGGACAGCTCACCAAATTTAATCTGAACCAAACTAGGTTATACCCTAGTATCCCCAATGAGGGTCTCTTCAAAATAATATCTCACTGCCACTGAGTCAATTCTGATGCACAGTGACCCTACAGGGCAGAGTAGAAATGCCCCTGTGGTTTCGGAGGCTGTAAAACTTCATGGGAGCAGAATGCTCATTTAATTCCCACAGAGGAGCAGTTGGTTGAGTTTGGACCCCCAAGCTTGTTAACAGACCAACATGTAACCCATTACACCACCCCATATGCTTATAATCAAATGCAGAGATGAGGGTAATATCAATTTCATCTACCTTCCCATATTTTCAGAATGCTGACAGAGTGTGCACATTTGCCACGTACCTGCGAACAGGCTGTGCAAGTTTGCTGCGAGGCACTGGTATACCCCCAGCAGAAGGGGCACTGGGTCTGGGCAAGCCACTCCTCATAGCAGTTGTCCCTGCAGGTCTGGTTAGAGTAGCGCTGTTGATATTGCTGGGAGGAGTTGCTGGGGCTGTGTTCTGAACCAGGGGTGGCCCAGGTGAGGAGGTGGTTTGTGTGAGCTGTGTGACTTCCTGGCCACCAGGAGAACCAGAACCATGGTTACTAAATGCTTTCATTGGCTGCCGGAGAGCCAAAGGAGATGGTGCTGCAGGGGAGCGGAATTTGCCTGGAGACGGTACTGTAGAATGGCAGAGAGAAACATTTTCAGTGCAAACCCAGTGTAAGAAAACCAATGCTTTCTATGACGCTTGATGACTAGGCATTTTTTGAAGTATTTAAAAACTTCACTCTATATTATTATTAATACTAAAAAAGGCATGAAAAACAAGAAGTAAAATTACCTGTATGTGCAACTGACATGTTGCCTGTACTAAGAAACGCTAAGGAAATACGAGAACTAATAAATCTGAAGTTAGCAAAGTATCAGGCTATACAGTTAATATATACAAATCAGTCGATTTTTAAATATTAGCAACAACATCTGGGAAATAAATATTAAAAGCAATGCCATTTATAATAGCATGAAATTTGGAATACTTCTGAGCAAATTTAACAAAATTTAAGGGGGCTTCAGAAAGTGTGTAGAATTATGTTATTAAAATATAATAAATTGTTGTGAGAAATTAAAGACGATCTAGAAAGAGAGAGTGAAGAGGTGCCAGGTTTAGGATTTTTCAAAAATCAATAGTTAAGATATACAGCAATAACATTCTAACTCAAACCCTACCACACTTGTTTTTAAATATAAAATTAATAAATATTAACAAGTTGTTATTAATATTTATACAGAAATGCAAATATCTAGAATAGGCAAAGCAAATTTGAAAAAGTTGGATGATGTGCATTACCTAGCTTCTAAATTTACTATAGATCTATTGTAAGTCAATGTATTCTGAAAATGAAAGCTTCATTAAAACAGAACAGAAATAAATCTATGCATATACAGTAAAATTATTTTCAACACTTTCTGGAACAATTGGAAATACATGTAGTAAAAACTAAACCTTGAACCTTACCCTAATACAGCCGTTCTCAACCTGTAGGTCAAGACCCCTTTGAGGTTTGAACAACCCTTTCACAGGGGTTGCCCAATTCATAACAGTAGTAAAATTACAGTTATGATGTAGCAATGAAAATAATTTTATAGTTCGGGGGGGGGGGGCGCACACCACAACATGAGGAACTGTATTAAAGGGTTGCGGCATTAGAAAGGTTGAGAACCACTGCCCTAATACCACTCAAAAAAACAACCTCAACGCCCATCCAGTCAATGCTGACTCATAATGACCTGCTGTGTGTTGCTGAGACTGTAACTGTTTACAGGAGTAGAAATCCCACATCTTAAAATGAATTCAAACCTAAATATAAAATTTAAAACCTAAAATAAAAATAAGACCTAATTAAAAAATATAAAAGTACAGAATAAAATCTTCATGGTCCATTTTGTTAGTCAAACATTTCTTCAACATGTGCCTTGAACATGCATTAAAACAACATCAACAACAGTTGTAAATTGGACCTCATAAAAGCTAACAGCTGAAGCAATTATTAAGAAGACTAAAGGGCAAGTCGAGCGGGAAGAAAATATTTGCAAAATATGTATGGATGATGAAAAATTTATTAAAAATATACAAAAATACTCTGGGCAAACCAATACTGAAATAAGCAAATTATTCAAATTTACTTCACAAAGACATAAGAGGAAAAGAAAATGAAATATCTCACTATCATTAATCATGATAATTTAACTTATTAAAGCGAGAAGAAAACACATCTATGAGCATAGCTAAAATTAAAAGGCCTGATACACACCAAGTACTGCTATATTCTCATAATCTTCACAGCAGTTTAAAATTATTTGCAATCCATCTTCTTTCATTTCCACAGGGGACTACAGAGTAAATGTCTTTCAATCCCAGTCGCTACAGTTCCATCTTTGTCTCCCTTGCCAGATAAGTCTACCTAAACAGTTTCACTGTCTTCTTCGAGTCTCAGTGAATAACCAAGGCTACAGGATTCCTCCAGCCACTGCCCATGGTGCCAAACACAGAAAGCCATCTTCAATCCTAGTATTTACATTGCTGGGACTTTTGAGATCAGGGTTTTGCTTTTTGTGGGAAGAAAGGCTTTAAGTAAAATTCAGAGAAGAGGACCATTAGATCCAAAGAATATTACGGAAAGACTTGGGGAGATGGGGGAGAGTTCAGTTTAGGAGACACACAGAGCCCTGATGGATCTGGTTGATGAGAACTGACAGAAAAGTCTTACGCTTTCTTTTTGTGGTGACTTAGGTAAAGGTCACAGTAAAATGAGGTAGATTATACTGAGGAAGATGAGAATTTCATTTCTACTGACAGCTTCACAGATATTAGGGTATGTTCTGAATGCCTTACTCCAATCTTAACATTTTTGCACAGCATATATTTTATTGGTTTATACATACATATCCTCATGAAAAAGTAATAAAGTAGAAGAACTTTCCTTTTGATACTTGAATTAGCACAGAGCTACACATCTAAAAAGCCCTCGCTGGACGACAACAACAATAAAGAGGCAAACAACGAAGTTTTCCTTATTCACATGTGCACATGAAAGTAAGCCTAATTTGGTTTTCTTAAAAACAAGACTCTCAAGACAAAAGCAGATCAAAAATTAAAATGAATTTTTAAATGGTTTACTCAAGTGCACTATCTACTATTGTTGTGATGCATGCTCGCCTCTATTTCTTTCCCCTGCTCTGTTCACTGGGCCGGTGTACCATATCCACCACACTCATCATCATGGGAACATTTAATTTTAGTCAGTCTTGCCTGGAAATTACTTTTCCTTTAGCAAACCAAATCTTAGCAACTTATTTTCCTTTCCTTTAATCGTCCAATTGTTTTTGCTGTAGTTTAGAGATTCTTCTTGATCATCCATGACTTCTTAAAATGCTTTTTCCACCTCTCTTAATACTTTCCATGTCACATCATTGTCCCTTAATTTTAGGTTATCGCTGTTGGCTTTATGCAGTACTTTTTTATTTCTCCAGGAGTTGAGAAAAGGATGTATAAACCTTTGTAGATCGGAACATTTAAGTTATCCCCCAAATTTAGTAAGCAGCCTACTTTTCTTTCTAGAGATTTCATTTCGGCATCTTCTGCTACCTTCACTTTTCCTTCTTGCTCGTATTTAGCTTTCACTATATTTTGCTCTCTTTCTTCACCCCCCCCCCATCTCCTACACAAAGTAACCGTCCTTGAAAAATATTGGCAGGTTTTTATCTTTGATTTCTGGCTGGGGATTCCTAAATCTTCATAGATTAACTGCTGGTACACAGCAAATGTTGAGTCTTCGGATGCTTGGTGCAATGGTCTTCTCATCTGACTATGTAGTACTTGACCTTTGTTTTCTAACCACTCTTGTGTCATCAAGGCTCACATCAGTTGGGAAGCTTAAAAATAATCTGATTTTTAATATATTATTTTAAAGACACTCAATACTCACTTTAGTTGGGACGGGGTTTGCTTGGAGATATTTCTGATTTTAGTTTTATCTTCACTCATGCAATAAGAATAATCTTCAAATGGATGCACGGATAGAGACACATGCTGAACAGGTGTGGGAAGAAGAATGTGACTATACCAAAAACATATATAGAAGATATTTCCAACTATGAATTTACCTATGCTGAAAATAAATCCATGAATATAGAGTTTATGGGAGATGAAGTAACCAAACACCTTGAGGGAATGAGTTTCTGGGCCTCGGAGCTCAGGACCATTGTCCTAGGAGACACTATAGAAAAACAGTATAATAGAGTCCCAAAGACAGTGTTCCACATGCCACTCTTGTGAGCAACACAGGGATCTGCGAGTGCCACATGGGGCACAACTACTGGTCTTTCCTTGTCTGAGGGAAGAGTGAAGGTAACTGAACATGCCTGACAACAATCAGTCCAATGCGCCAAATGTGTTCACCATCCTGAATCTAGAAGAACGACGTGGTGCCAGCTCCCACTACTGCCTGCTTTGAAAGGGAGCACATTAAAAATCCCCCCACAGAGTGGGAAAAATGTGCAATAAACTAACAATCACAAGACGACTGAGCTTACTGGTCCCATATAGACTGGTGGAGCCCCCAAGAAAATGGTTCTTAGTCACTTTTCAAGTCTGGAACTGAACTTCCGTGTGTGGTTCAATTTTCAGCCAATCAAAAAGGTTAACACCATACTAGTGAGGTACACATACTTTAAAATAATCAAATTATAAAAAAATCAAATAGTCAAAATAACTGTTTGAGATCAAAGGGCGGCATTTGCCCTCAGACAAGCTTTGAAGTCAGGAGGGGTTAGAAGAGGAGGATGAATGGAAATGGGCAACAGGGAGGAAGCGGGCTAAATTGTGTTGCATTCTAGGGATTGCAATCAATGACATAATGTATGTGAATTATAGAATGTAAAACTGATTTGCTGTATAAACCTTTACCAAGTTCACAACAAAAAGTTAAAAACAAAACCACGTAAAAAACAAAAAACAAAGTCTTTTAGCAAAGGGAAAATTGCAACAAAGACATAAAGTAGAAATAAATGAAAATTTTAGAGCTGGAAAATATAAATTAAGTAAAAATAAAAAATAAAATACTCAATAGATGGATTCAACAACAGAATGGATAGGACAAAGAATAGAATCAGTGAACTTAAAAAAAGAACAAAAGAAATTACCCAATCTGAATGACAAAGAGACAATACAATGGAAACAAAAATAAACATAGCTTCAGGGATTTGTGAGAAAGTATACAAAGAGAGCTAACATTTGCACATCATCAGAATCTCAGAAGAAGGAAATAGAGTGAGGCAAGTATACTCTGGCTCTAAGAAACAACGGCCACAAACTCCCCAAATGTGGCAAAGGGCATAAACTGACAAATTCAAGAAGCTGAGTGAATCTCAATCAAGATAAGCCTAAAGAAATCCATACCAAGAAACATGACAATATCTGAAAACCAAAGACCAAAAAACTGAAAAAGAACAAAGTGACTGCCCCCCAAAATAAAAATCAATTTGAAATCAGCAAGAAACTCTTTCATTCACAGGGAAACAAACGTGAGTGGAGTTCTCGTTGTAAACCATGGAGACTAGAAGAAAGTGTAACAATATTTTCCAACGTTGCAAGAATTGCCAACCCAGAGTATTTTACT